GAAACACGTTTGTGTTGTGTTATCTCAACATGTCCCTATAAACTAATGTTGTTTGGGCTGTAGACACCAGTGTTTTACCCATTCTGGATCTGTGGCTTCCACAGTGACTCGGTAATAGGTCAGCTGTCCATCCTCTCTCTCCTGTACTATGAGCTTGTCCTTAGGGAACCTCTTCATCAGCTGGGAGATCTCAGTGTCCCTGAGTTTCTTAGACATCTCCTCAGTTAGATCAGCCAGTCTGACCTGCTCCAGAACTGTAGGAGGCCGGCTGGCTGGTGGTCTGGCCCCACCACTTTCCCTGGGTCCCACAGGCCGGTCCTCCACTGGTGGAAACTGCTGTGGATGCCAGAAGCGACAGCGGTCTTCCATAGCACAGAACCCTGACATGAAATAGCGGCAGGGCTTCCGGGCTCGTGTCTGCTTGGCAGAATTAGCCCCCGCATTAGAAGGGAGTGAATGCTCCTTCTCACAACCACCACACATGTCTGACTGCTTCTGAGGAACGGGACAATGAACATCAGCAGTGCTTTCCTTATCTACACACTCTGACTTGGGGTCAGGCCGGTTCTCAAGCCCCCCCAGTGCCTCTGAGGGTGCAGTCTTCTGGTGAAGAAAGTGGCATCTCTTTCCATAGTAGCAGCGGCGGCCCTGGGAGTAGAAGCGGCATAACTGCTTTGTGGGACCAGTTGCCTGCAGAGAGGTCTGGTTTCTGCTGTCCTCTGACGGGATCCTGTTCCCTTCTTCAAATTGTGTCACAGGGGCAGAGGCCTCCGCACTGTCTATATCAGAAGGCTGAGGACACAATTAAACAAGTGAAGGTGAGAGATTTCCTTGAAGTTACTTTTCCTGAAATGCAGACAAAAATGCTAAATTGTGCGCTATTAAGTATTTATGTATTAATGATTAACAATGAGGACAACACTCAATATCTCTCCATTTCTTAAAAGTTTTCTTCAACTTTGTGACATTATTACTATTAAATTATTATTATTTAATATTATAATAATATTATAATTATTATTATAATATTAAATATATTAGTTACTGGAAATTTTGAAAAAAAAAAATACAGGAGTTTCCAAAATTATTAAAAGATGTAGAGAAAATCAGACTCCTAACAACTGTGCAAGACCTGGCAGACCACCAAAACTGTCACCATCAGATAAACAGTATTTAAAGCTTTCATCTTAGAGAGAAAAGAGAAAATCAAGCTCCGCTTCTGCAGATCTGAAAAAAAAACCACAGGGGTTTCTATCCATCCGTCCACTGTGATAAGACAACTCAACACTCTGGGTCTGAAAGGATGTGTAGCTTTCAAGAAGCTGTCACTGAGAAAAAGAAATCAGACAAAGAAGCTGCTAGTGTTCTCAGAACAATAGAGTGACCAGACCTTGACATCACTGAATGTATTTGGGATTACTTGGTTCAAAAAAAGCAGAAAATGCAACACCAAATTCAAAGACTGAACTTTGGAGGTGGGGAAAATACCCTTGTAGATTTCTTCAAAAAACTGAAAGCAAAAAGAATAGAAACTGCAATAAAGGGAAAAGATGGACACACTAAATATTATTAATATATAATATATTTAGTTATTAGCTTCTGTGTAGTTTTCTGTCAAAAACATGTTTTCTGCTTTTTTCCTGATATTGATAATAAATAACTTGTACTGTATAACTGTAAATTAATTAATCAGTTTATATGTATCACACATATACATAGAAACAAACTGAGCTAGTCCAATTCCCATTACTAATCAGGTTTAGGTTGAAAAGTCCATAATAGGCAGAAATACATTTGTAAATTATATCTCTGCCTAAACCATGATAGGAACAGTCATAAATAAGATTAGGAATACAACACCATATCAAGACATTAAAAGGAAAGATACTGTTTAAATGTGCAGACACAGCTAACACAGCACTTCTCTGATGACCTTTGATCACTGCACATGTGATATTCTGCATGCGTTAACTCATGATAGGAGAGACAGGTTGAAGACATGAAGGCTGAGCATTTTTTACATTCCTTTAGTTCATCGACATGTAGAAGTCCTCATCCTACATTTTTCGTTTGTTTGTAATTTATAGGTGAATATCTTTATTTTTTAGTTAAGCTTCGTGACAACATTTGCCAACGGGTTTCACAAAAGTAAACCTTGCGTCAAAAGGCTCATATTGTGGAAAAACAAAATTTCCTCAATTATGTAATATAATCGTTTGTTGTAGTATGTAAACACCACCGTTTTGAATTTATTGTTTTTGTGTATGTATATACACCGATCAGGCACAACACTATGACCACCTCCTTTTTTCTACGCTGATTGTCCATTTTATAAGCTCCACTTACTATATAGGTGCACTTTGTAGTTCTACAATTACAGACTGTAGTTCATCTGTTTCTCTGCATACTTTGTTAGCCCCCTTCTACTCTGTTCTTCAATGGTCAGGACCCCCATGGACCCTAACAGAATAGGTACTATTTGGGTGGTGGATCATTCTCAGCACTGCAGTAACACTGACACAGTGGTGGTGTGTGTGTGTGTGTTGTGCTGGTACGAGTGGATCAGACACAGCAGTGCTGCTGGAGTTTTTAAACACTGTGTCCACTTACTGTCCACTCTACTAGACATTCCTACCTTGTCAGTCCACCTTGTAGATGTAAAGTCAGAGACGATAGTTCATCTGCTGCTGCACAGTTTGTGTTGGTCATCTTCTAGTCCTTCATCAGTGGTCACAGGACGCTGCCCACAGGACGCTGTTGGCTGGATATTTTTGGTTAGAGGACTATTCTCAGTCCAGCAGTGACACTGAAACTCCAGCAGCACTGCTGTGTCTGATCCGCTCAGACCAGCACAACACACACTAACACACCACCACTACATCAGTGTAACTGCAGTGCTGAGAATGATCCACCACCCAAATAGTACCTGCTCTGTGAGGGTCCATAGGGGTCCTGACCCCTGAGGAACAGGGTAAAAGGGGCCAACAAAGTATGCAGAGAAACAGATGGACTACAGTCTGTAATTGTAGAACTACAAAGTGCACCTGTATAGTAAGTGGAGCTGATAAAATGGACAATGAGCGCAGAAACAAGGAGGTGGTCATAATGTTATGTCTGATCAGTGTATGTTTAAGCAATAGAACATGAGAGGGAGTGTGTTATTCATGATAACACATGACCTCGAGTGTTCTATTGCTTTTATACAACAGTTAAATAAATAAAGTAAGGAATAACTAAATAGGGCCCTGAATGTGGCATTTAATGTCTCTTGATGTCAGCAGTTCCTTCTGCCGAATTATAATTCCTTAACAAGCAGCTTGTTGCTATGTCAGAGCAACAAACTCCGCTCACTCGCTTCACAGCCTGCAGTTTGTTCTCCAGCTCCTTACACTAAATTCCCAAACTGTCATTACCACTGAGCAAGCTTTTCAGTCGGCAGCTGTGACAGAAAAACACCTAAACAACCTGGAATTAGGCAGAAATGAACCAAATACCATTCGCCAAACGTGTAGTCTAATCTTCTTCGAACCAAATCGAGCCATAAAACTGCCGCAATATCAAGTTTAACTCAGTTTTGTCATTTTTTGCTGGATCATTATTAATGTTGTTTTGTTCCAGCCAGTCTGTAAAGCATTTCACAGTCCATTTTGTTTGGCGAATGGTATTTAGTTAATTTCTGGCTAATTCCAGGTTGTTTAGGTGTCACAGCTGCCGACTGAAAAGCTTGCTCAGTGGTAATTTAGTGTACTCTCATCTTCAGAGTCTGACCAAATCAGCTGTGGGTCAAATGTGATCTTAAAAGTATCCATTTTCTGTTTGTGCGCAAAGTAAGAAGTAAAAACGTTCAAATGGCTTGAGCGTCTCCTACAGCTGTCAAAGTCGTTGCAGTGTTTGTGAAAAACCCGTGATGTTATGGCGAAATAACAGCACGGTTAGAACGCTTCTCAACCAATCAGCTTGCGTGGCCGGAACTAACTGTTGTTAGTAACTCTATTCAGCCAACAGCAGTTTAGCCCCGCCCATTCACGTTGAAGTTATAAGGAGTGTTTCAGCCTGAACTGCTTTTTTTAATGAGGCACAACACAGGGCAGCCAAACAGAACAGAGCTTATTACACTTCTTTGTCTTAAAGACACAAAAACTGAAACAGCCTGCTTATTTCTAAGGGATAAAGAAGGGCTGGAAATTGTATTATCAGATGAAGAAAAAAAAAGGATATTGTTGTCAGCCTGTTGTTACCAGAGCCAATGTAAAAGTTGAATGTAATAAAATGACAAAATGCTACAGAATTAGTCTGCGGTGGGTAGTGACTGGTTACATTTACTCAGCTTCTTGTACTTTAGCAAAAAGCTGATGGATGTGTACTTTACTGAGTATAGTAAATCATAATGATTTTTACTTTTTACTTAAGTGTATTTGAGGAAAGGGATCTATTTTAATGAACACTAAATTCCTATTTAGTTTCCACTATTTCTTGAGTTTCACGTCATACTGTTCTCTCCTGTTGCAGAACTGCTCTGCAGGGCCTCAAACCTCTCACTTCCGAGCTTTAACGTCACTCATTTACTTCAGACCAGAGGACTCACATAACGGGAAGAATATCGCATGACAAACTACAGTTTCTATGCTAAAATGTGCTGGATGTACAAAAAAGTTCCACATGCTGTTCGCCACTTTTATTGATACGCATATAAGCTGTGGTCTAATTCTACGTCTAGTTTAGTCATTACTCAGCACTTCTCGAGTCTCGAGAGGACTGCTGTCCTCTGCTAAAGCTAACTCGCACACTCTTCCACACTGATGTGGAAACATGGAGCCTCTGTTTTTCTCTGAGAGAAAACAGGACCCACTAACCTGCTCGGCACGGGCGGCTGGCGACTCCATAAAGTGTCACAACCTCACTGTCAAACTTCACAATCCAAAACGATTTAAACAACTGGGAAAAACGGATGTATCCACGTCGGCCGCTTCAGAGCGACACGGGCAGGTACAGGTTAACCCGTTCGCTCACTGTCTTTCCGTACAGAGCAACGCGGGTTCCGCTGCTGCCACCTGCTGGAAGCTCAAACGCACACCTTCGCCCTGGCGACCGGGCTCACCTCCACTTTGGCCACTCAAGCCGGTGCTTAAGACGCTCAGAGCTTCGTTTGAATCCCTCCGTTTTTCAGTCGGACCCGGCAGTGCTCGTTGAGGGTGATCATCTCTGAGAAGTGCTCCTGGGCCGCGTTCAGGAAGCCAAATGCTCCGTAACGCTGCGCAACGTTTTCTCCTTCTCCTCCTCGATCAGTGAGCAACTTGCGGTCCGCGCTGCCCCATTTTTGACAGCTTTGGCATCTCGGCGTTTATCTCCTTCAGTAGTTCTCGTATAACTATTTTGTGGGACCGCTTGAGACGCTGATTAGGCCATTGGGCAAATGCTTATAAAGAGCAGCACTGAGACTAACATAGACATTCTTCTCATGACCTGTTTGGAAGAATGCAAAGGGATGTAAAAGTATAGCTTAAGCATCTTACATTCTTCTCTTTGGTCTTTGGTGAGTCTCAAACTAATTCATTATTTACAGAGGGAAGAGTGTAAATATTTCAGCGAGGATTGTCACTAGATCTCTATGCCATCTGAGCCATGTGAACCTCAGCGAATGGTGGAAGCTTTGGTGATTTCTGGACATTTATTGTTGTATCTGTACTGTGAGTAGTGGATATAAACTCCAAAATGCATCTGATGCATCTTGGCGAGACCATCTGGGAGAGCTATGGACGAGAGTCTGTTTTGCAGCCTATGTGGGACTACATGCGTCTGCATTACTCTGACGCTCTGAGGTCCCCCCTCTTCCCTGTAATTCTGTCAGTGTCATCGTACTTTGTTCTCTGCCTGCCCTACCTGTTCTGTGACATTGTTGGAGAAAAGTGGCCAGCTGTTCACCGGTATAAGATACAGCCGGGCAAGTTGCCCACCACCTCGATGATCCTCCGCTGTGCTGGTATTACCCTCCGCAACCACATTTTTCTGGTATTCCCAGCAGCTGTAGCCCAGTGGGCATGGAGACCTCCCATTCCCCTGCCTGAACAAGCACCAACGTTACTGGAGCTGGTTGGCGGCGTGGCGGGAAACCTCCTGCTTTTCGACTTGCAGTACTTCATCTGGCACCTGCTGCACCACAAGGTCCGCTGGCTTTACGTCACCTTCCATGCCATCCACCACGAATTCTCTGCTCCTTTCGCCCTGGCCACGCAGTGCCTTGGAGGCTGGGAGCTGGTCACTGTCGGTTTCTGGACCACCCTCAACCCCGTTCTACTGAGGTGCCACATACTTACTACTTGGGCCTTTATGGTAGCACATGTGTATGTGTCGGTGGAAGACCACTGTGGGTATGACTTCCCATGGTCCACTTCTCGCCTCATTCCCTTTGGCATCTATGGAGGGCCAAGCAAGCACGATGTGCACCATCAGAAGCCTAATACTAACTTTGCCCCCCATTTTAGCCACTGGGATAAAATGTTCGGCACACATGCTGACTTCAGTTTTGTTAAAGTTCAGTGAATTCATGCATTGCTTAAACTGCAGTTATAGAGAAAAGCCAAGTGATTTACAGTTGGCACTACCTCTTAGACCAGGTCATTGGTGTAATGCTTTCTTTGAGTAGATTCAATCAAATGTGCGATGACAATTCAAATCAGTATCATTGTTCCTCAGAAAGTTAGAATTAACTAAACAAGGGGTAGACAACACAATGCAAACACCACGCTATGTTTGCATTATGTTTCAAAAAAGTTCTAAAATTCTTATAAGAATAGGTCCCAGATTTAACAGTGGAAGAAAGGATCTTCTTGATATCCTGTTAAAAAAGAACCGTATTTCTTCCACTGCTTTTGGTGGCCTGGTGTATCAGCTACCATTTGGTGGCAAATAGTTTCCAATTGGCAGCTCTTTCATAAACTAAATATCAGTTTTCTGGAAATGACACACAGCTTAAGATTCTTTCAAGATAATAAAAGCAAGTAATAGTGCTTTTAGCTCCCTAGCTAGCATTGTCAGTCTACCTGTGGACATTTTTCCATGCTTACAGGCTACAGCTCTTGTCTTTTTTACATTCCCTGACTTGCAGTTTTCCTTTATGCAAGTGTACAATTCCTGTATTAGTCTAATTCTCTTTCATAAATTGATACTTGGAGATTTTAGCACTGAGTAGTTGAAATTAACAATACAGAAGATGTATATGATAGATAGATATGTATATGATATACAATGTATATGAGTGACACAATAGTTTGCTATATTACTATTTTGAGAGCACAGTGTGGCTAAAATGTTTAATTAGTGTAGAAGTATTGTCTTAAAAATCCATTCAGAGAGTGAACTTCGATGGTACATGCTTCAGCAGCAACATTTCTTCTGCTTAATTTATTAAATTTTATGGTAGGCCACTACAGAAGCAGGCATTGTCTTTATAAAAAACAAAATTTCCTTGCGTCCTCAGAAGGAGGAACCAAGATGTGAGGAAGAGATGCGAGGATAAAATGCTAGGACAGAGGAATCGATGCCAAAAGAGTTCACCAACTGAAACGTCCTTCACTCAGTCGTCACTTTCATCGACTGTCACTGGGATTAAGGATCTGCCTATAATGAAAACTTATGTTCTATTATCAACTAATTTTTCACACCAGTATGCTTTACTGAAATTAAAATACATCAACAATTTCATTGACTCTTATCATCCTTTCACAGTAACCTTCCATTAACTGAAATCATCCAAAAACGTACAAAGGGGAGGCGGTTCTCAGAGAATACTGTACCACAGACCTATGTCACATGCTACAACAAAAGACTTTTGTGCAGGATTTCCTTGGTTCCTCATTTCCGAGGCCTCCCGTCTCCTTTGGCAATTAAAGAACTGATACATCCTTAAAGATGGTAGATTTTGATCAGTTTCCGGTTTACAGGCTGAAAGACAGAGGAGAGCAGAACTGAAGTGACACCATTTGGAGGTTTGAGATCCACCCTGAGTTGCTGAGCTAGCTGAGTGTTTTCACTCGATGATTGGTGGGAGTAGTGAGAAGGGGAACTGAAACATGATATTACTGGGTAGACAAAAATCATTAGGTTTTGGTTAAGATTATGGGAAAACAAGAACTGTCTTTTTCATGATGCGATATGAGGAATCACACTTAATATGACCAGGGACATTAAATAACAATGTAAAAAAGGTCAGTTTTGATTTCAGGTTGTTTTTGAATTGTTACTGAGTTGACTCTGTAATGCTGTTTCTTTCCTGAAAGGGATACAATTGTAGCAGGAGTTCTGGTCAAGCACCTGACAAGCTTATTGATTCATTTGCTGATGTTCAAAAGCAAGACATGCTGACTAGCATTATTTGGCAGTACATTATGCTAATTCTAATTTAACTAAATGAAAGAGCAATTACTAGCTAGTTAGTGTCACAGAGTGTGTTTACATGAACAGTAACTGTAAGGTTACTCTGATTTTGATTATTCAAGTTGTCATGTAGCCACACATACACACACACACACACACACACACATATATATATATATATCCTGAATATCCTGACTGTTGGGCTAACAACCAGGCATTTAAGTCAGGGGCATACTCAAAACATCTTGAAAACGTCAAAAACATATTAGAGGGCCAAGGCACATGACCTTTGCAAACAAGGCTTCATTACGTCATTCTGATTCAAGTATAGTTTTGAAACATTTTAATGTTTTGGTGGAGGGCTACTTAAGTGACTACTGAGCTCATATCACTACTGAGCTCATATCACTTTTTATAGCTTTGGTTCATACTAATAGACTGATTGAAAAAATTTGGCCTCATCAACAATCAGCGGTTCCAGGTTATCTGCAGATCTGCCCTCCAGTAGTTACTATTAAATTAAGTAAACTAAGACATTATCTTTCTTTCGTACCGAACATAAATATTCTACACTACTGTATTTTTATCCACAAATTAGATATATCGGTCATGATTAAGACCATATAAAGGGCTAATCATATATGATGGCCTACATATTCAAGACACGTTTAGCTTTGTTTATTTCAGAATTCAGGATAATTACAACTGTAGAATTGTTTGGTTTTAGGTGTTTTCGTTTTGAGTTTTCACAATGCGTTTACAAGCATTTCACCAGCAGATGCTGTCAACATGTGTTTCAAGCATTTTAAAATAGTGAATCGGTTTCTGAAGCAGTTGGTTCAAAGCTTCAGTAATGTCCTGTCCAAATCTCCAGACTCTCACTGAATTTGGACTTTGGACATTCTGTGGAAACTTCAGACACAGAAACTTAGAGAGTCAGAATTTTTCACAGTGGTGGTGTTAGGAATCTGTTTAATGTCACTAAAACTACCTCACTGAGAGCTGTTTTGGCATAAAACATATTTTTAAAAATACATGCAGGGAATTGTAAGGCAAAATTGTACCCAAAACAAACGTATTGTTTCAGATTTACCACTATTTTACCATAATCAACATTACCTATAAAAACCCAGAGGACACATCTAGGCACTGGTTGTTTTGGATAGTAAATAAAATGACATTGAAGACGTCATGACCAGAGGTTCATATCACCACCATTGTAAAGGAATCAGTGTCTCTATGTTTCTCTACAGTTAAACATTTCACTGAACACTCTGAATGACTTTTCAGTGGAATTTTTTCACTGGAGATTTAGATTGGGCAATAGCCTCATTTCTCCCATCACAACAACCATGAATGTGCACAAATATAACCGGATAAACAGTAAAGACCATAGACTAAATTTGGCAGTACATTTGCACCAATATGTCATGTCCTCCTTTTCAGTGGGTTATTGGCGAGTTACATAAGCAAGTGTAGAGGTGTATTGTTATTATTGTCTGACTCGTGAATTATTGCCAATAGCTGATTTTTTGCAATTAGATTATTTTGTTCATGTAAACATACTAACTAACATGTGCTTGTTTATTATCATCAAAAATAGCATAATACCCTTGGGTTTGGGTGCACTTGGTCAAATTACATGTTTTTGGTTCAAAATAAGTTACACATCCTCTGTAGAACACACTTCTGCATATTTTAAAATTCAGTTAGGAAACACACACACACACACACACACACACATGCACTCGCTCACTCCCACTCACCACTCAGATGTGACACCTACATTAAACAAGTGGTCACTTGAGTTAGAAGGGGAAGGAAAGGACATTGATGAGAGGATTATTCAAAAGGAAGGCGCCCAGCCTGTGTCAGGTTGATTTCTGTGTAAGTTCTGCTGCCGAAGTTGGAACTTGTGTTCACTCTGTCCCTCGTCCCTCCGAGGGCTCATCTAACGCCCTTCACTTAGTAAACTAATAGTGAAGTACTATTACTTCACTAATAAAGTATTTGAACAGCCCTTAAGATTCCCCGTCAAGGAGGGGAAATGGCGAGGCCAAGTGGACGAGGGCATGTTAAAACCGGTATTAAAGCAGTGTTGATGTGTAATATTGATCACTGAATTTTCTGTATCTCGTCTCATTTCACCTTCATTCTCCAACTACAAACCCAAAACAAATCAAATAAGGTGACTATTAAAACCAAGAAAATACCTTTATGTTGCAGCATTTCTGTCTTTCTTCTTCTTTTATCTTTCTATTTTCTGATTTTCTTTCTTTTTGTTTTATGACAGATATATTTCTTATTTGTGTCAGTGGCCCTGACCAATTTGTACATTTTTGAGTTAGGCTAAATTTTGCACTATTGCGCTAATTTGTTTTTGTGGCCCCTAGTGTCAGTGGAGCCCTAAGCAGTACTTTGTTGGTAATTAGTTTTAAAGGGGCACTCTGGCCAAAGAAATGTAACCATTACTACATTTGTTATAAACATACCTACTTGCTGTTATAAACATGCCTACCTACAGTGGTGGCGCAATAGTCCTGAGAGTGAAATATTCCAGTTTACCATCTAGAAAAAAAACCCTTCAGATGATGTATTTTGAAGGTGTGAGGAACTCTTACAAACTGCAGGTGTTTTGGGGTGAATATCTTAAGGCAAGCTGTGGCTGATGGCTAACAATGAAGCAGAATATCGCAGCTGTAATTAGCCTCTATATCTGTGCAGCTCTTTATAGCATGTGGGTGATTCCCAGTGTTTGTGTGACATGTCGCATGCTGGGTATTGTATTGAGAGAACATCGATGGACAAAAATGCAAAATGATACAAAATCGTGAATTCAATCAAACCAAAGTGGCTGAGTGATACACAATACAACATACCAGGACAAATAATGTACTAGGTTTAGACCAGGATGCCCCTTTAACATCAGCCTACTAATAAAAGTACTAGGATGTACTGGATAGGTGTGATTAATCACTTCAAAATTTAACCCCTTTTTATGTGGTGTTTCCTCTTTGTGTCTACTCCTGTCTGATGACATGTTGTAAAGAGTGAGAACAAATAGATTGTGCTTGTGTAAAGCAAAATTGGCGCTGTTATTTATTTATTTTATTTATGTATAATAAATAGATGCTTACTTAGGTCTGTTACTAATGCCTGCATAAGCACATAGACTACAATCCTTACCAATTAGGTTATTTCTGAACTGTTGGAAGTGTGAAGTCATTAAAACTCGTGAAATATGCTTCTTTGGTGTTCTTCTTATATACAGT